AAGGCCAGGCCGACCGTGCAGGCGCTCGCAGGCTGTGTCGACACTGCCCCACTGCTAACAGGGACTCTCTGCGGTCATGACTCCACTTGTAGCGTCATGACCAGAAAGGCTCATGTGTGACTTTGTTAAGTCAACTGGCAACAATCATTACTAGAGAGTAAGGAATGCAGAAATGAACTAATTCCAGTTTCCTCATCTATAGACTGGGATAACAACACTACTTATCTATCTAAATTGTGAGGAGTAAATTGCTCTCTATATAAAGTTTATATAAAATACCTTAGATCATAGGTAAGACGCAAAAAGCACAACAACAACAACAAAAAACACAAGCTGGACTTAATCAAAATTTAAAATCAGTATGTTTCAAAGGACACCATCAAGAAAATGAAAAGAGGCAGGATGTATTTATCAGAGGGACTTTACCTGACAAATGCAATCAGTGCAACCTGGGTCTCTGCCCCCTCACTGAGTATCTTACAATAAAAAAAAGAAAAGAAAAGATACACAGAATAGAAGAAAATGTTTGCTATTCTTGTGTCTGATAAGGGACTCGTATATAGAATAGTAAGAGCTGTTACACCTCAATAATAATAAGACAAATAACCCAATTAAAAGTGGATAATCTGAAGGCCAGCGTGGTGGCTCACACCTGTAATCCTAGCACTCTGGGAGGCCAAGGCAGGTGGATAGCCTGAGCCAGAGCGAGAACCCATGTCTAAAAAAGAACTGGGCATTGTGGCAGGTGCCTGTAGTCCTCACTACTCAGGAGGCTAAGGCAAGAGGATTGATTGAGCCAAAGAGTTTGAGGTTGCCGTGAGCTGTGCTGCCACGGCACTCTACCCAGGGGGACAACATGAGACTGTCTCAAAAAGAAAAAAGTAGATAATATGAATAGACATTTATCCAAAGAAAATAAACAAGTGACCAATAAGTATATGAAAAGATGCTCAGTGTCATTGGCTATAAGATCACAATGAGGTACCACACCCGCCAGGATAGCCAGAATCACAAAGGTAACGAGGTTTGAGGAGGATGCAGAGAAATCAGAACTTGCACATGTTGCTCTGACCCAGCAATTCCACTTCCTAGACATAGACATAAGATAATTTAAAACATATGGGCATGCAAGAACTATACACAAAAGTTCATGGCATCATTATTCATAACAGCCAAAAAGCAGAAACAATGCAAGTGACCATCAACTAACACACTGGATAAACAACATGTGGAACGTCAATACCAGGGAATGTTATTCAGCAGTAAAAAGACAGGAAATGCAACACGTGCTAAAGGATGACCCTTGAAAACACTGTGTTAAGTTAAAGAAGCCGGTCACAGAGGACCCTGCGTGCTATGATGCTACAATATGAAATGTCCAGGATGGGTAAACCCATAGTGGAAGGAAGGAGATTAGTAGATGCCTAGGGCTGGGGGAGGTGGAAGGAAACGGGGATGGACCGCTTATGGTCCAGGACTTCTCATTGGGGTGATGAAAACATCCTAAATTTGACTGGGTAAGGGTTGCACAATTCCATAAATATCCTAAAAAACATGAAATTTTACAATTTAAATGAGTGAAATTTATCAAGGCTTTTTTTTAAGCACCTAAGAGCAATGCCTCTGGCACAGTTGGTACAAACTGCTAAATTTTTTTTTGAGACAGAGTCTTACTTTGTCACCCTCAGGAGAGTGTCATGACATCATAGTTCACGGCAACCTTAAACTCCTGGGCTTAAGCAATTCTCTTGCCTCAGTCTCCCGAGTAGTTGGGACTACAAGAGCCTGCCACAACACCCGGCTATGTTTAGAGACCAGGTCTCACTGTTGCTTAGGCTGGTCTCGAACCTGTGAGCTCAGGCAATCCCCCACCTCAGCCTCCCAGAGTGCTGGGATTATAGGCATGATCCACGCCCGGCCTAAGTTGCTATTTTTATTATAGAAAGAAACTCACTCCCCTCAACATGAAAATGGGAAAATCAAATATGAGTGAAGTAAAACCAGACAAAAGATCATCTTACTTGAAGTAGCTGCTGCAGGTACAAGAAATGTTTAGAAATAATAAGAAAAAAAAGAGTTCTAAAAAAGAATCATTCCTTTTAAAATGCAGATAAAGAACTAAAAGTCCTGGCTCAGCGCCTGTGGCTCAAGTGGCTAAGGCACCAGCCACATATACCTAAGGTGGCGCGTTCGAATCCAGCCCGGCCCGCCAAACAACAATGATGGCTGCAACCAAAAAATAGCCAGGCGTTGTGGCAGGCGCCTGTGGTCCCAGCTGCTTGGGAGGTTGAGGCAGGCGACTCGCTTGAGCCCAGGAGTTGGAGGTTGCTGTGAGCTGTGATGCTACCACACTCTACCCAGGGGAACAGCTTGAGGCTCTGTCTACAAAAAAAAAAAAAAAAAAGAACTAAAAGTCCTAAGTGCTAGAAGTGCCAGGGGAGCAGCTCCATGCCGAGGACAAGTTGGAGGGAGACGCCAAAGACCTCCAACTCTTCTCCCTCAGCTCTGGAAATAATTATAGGAAAGGTGGGCATAAAATAAATTCTGAAACAGTTTGCTTCAAACATTATATCCCTTTAAAATGCAAAAATAAAATGAAAGTGATGTAATTTTGTTGCAGCTTCATGTGAATGGGTTTTCTGAGAGAATGTTAGGTAGCTGTTCAGACGAAGAGGCTTTGCTCCTAGGAGCTCCAACCAACACACTTAGGGCTTAGCTAACAGAGATGGGCCCAATGCTTAAAAGACAGGTAAGACTTTAATAGCAGGTCAGTCCTGATGTAAAAACCCCTGGGAACTGAGGCCAGAGGGCACCAGCTGAACAGGAGCCGCCTAGAAGGCAGGAACTGAAGAGAGCAGCATCTCATCTCTTCCCCTGCTCTGCCTTCTGTGCAGAGGCCAAGTTCACTGTTCTAATTTGGGATCACTACATAAAATGGCCTCGCACACCAAACACTGGTTTCTGGGTCCCTTCCCGGTGGTTTTCACTATATAGCAAGATCCTGACACAACCCTGAACAACAAAACCCTACAGAATCATCCTTATTCTTACTCCCAGCTCTCTTAACTTAATTGTGTTCTTGTACAGTCTTGGTTTAAAAAGTGTCAGAAATTTAAAAAACAAAATTCTCTTTTTATCTCAACAAATGCCTAGTTTTTTGTATAGTTCCAACCCACTTCTACTTGTGCACACATCTAATGCTCCTATAACCAAAGTGAGGATCTTAGGTGTGCTACAAACATTTTTAAAGATCATTAATTAAATGTTTTTTGAAAGAAGTTCAAAACACAGTAAGTATATTCTTTTTTTCTAACTTTTTCTTTTTTTTTTTGAGATAGAGCCTCAAGCTATCCCCCTGGGTAGAGTGCTGTTGCATCACAGCTCACAGCAACCTCCAACTCCTGGGCTCAAGCGAGTCTCCTGCCTCAGCCTCCCAAGTAGCTGGGACCATAGGCACCCTCCCCAACACCCGGCTATTTTTGGTTGCAGCCGTCATTGTTGTTTTGTCGGGCCGGGCTGGATTTGAACCCACTATCTTAGGTGTATGAGGCTGGCGCCTTAGCCACTTGAGCCACAGGTGCCGAGCCTTAACTCTTTTTTTTAATCAACATAATTCAAGTTTGCCATAGAAATTTAACGATAGGTTCAAGTGTGCCATGAGATAAAAAAGGCTTAAAAACACTGCACTCGGGCAGCACCTGTGGCTCAAAGGAGTAGGGCTCTGGCCCCAATATGCCAGAGGTGGCAGGTTCAAACCCAGCCCTGGCCAAAAACAGCAAAAACAAAAACAAAAAAACACTGCACTCAAGTGATCGACAGACTAGAATTAAGTATTTTACATCAGGCATAACTAGCCAGCCTGGACCCAATAACTTGCAATGACCCAAAACCACACTGGTTTGAGTTTTCAACACTGGTGTGAGTTTTTGTCAGTGTTGGCTGGGGGGGGCCTCAGTTCCTCGGTCACATAAGCCTACCATACAGTCGACACTGATGTGAGTTTTTGTCTGTGCCAGTTTAGGCGGGGGAGGCCCTGGTTCCCCATCGTGTAAGCCTACCATACAGTTGCCACTGATGTGAATTTTTGTCAGTGCTGGTTTGGTTGGGGAAGCCCTGGTTCCCCATCACATAAGCCTACTATGTGCCTAGCTACATGGAGTTGTTTTCTCATCAGCAACTCAGGTCTTCTGAAAATAAGACTAAGCATTTGTTGTCCTTCCTCTACACTTTCCACAAACCCTACCAAGAAACTTATCCATTAGCCTAGAGAAAGAATTTAACACAAATGTTAAAACAGAAACCTGCAAAGCTGAGCAGCATCATTTCAGAATCCAGATGCAGGATAAGATGGGAGGGAACGTGCTGGTCACTGAGCCTGTGTGAGTCAACTATCTAATTTTTATCCTTCAAATGAGGAAAGTTTTTCATTCTTTAAATTTATTTACACTGTTATTATTTTTGATCAAAACAAAAAATAATCCAGCTCATCATGAAATAAGCTACTGTAATAAAAGAGATTTTTGTTCTATCAATTATAGAAGGTATTAAAAGAGAGAAAGAAAAGCCCGCCGCCTGTGTAAAAAATGCAAAATGTCTTTGCTTGTTAAGAACACACAGACAAAATGCAGTAGAGAATTCAAATTCATGTTGTAGGAAGCACGAGCCATAGAAACAGAGCCAAGTCATTACTACAAACAAATTCAAAACAGGACACACATGCTCAAGGCATTCAAAGAATTAAAGGCACAATTCCCAAATCATTGACTTAACCATGCTGGAGGAAGAATTTTCCTCTTCAACAGACAACATACACAGCAAAGGGTGCCCCATCAAACAAAGACCAAACAATAATCAGGTTTTTAACAGTTCTGATTTAAGATTATTTAAATCAGAATGTTCCAAAGATCAAAATCCAGAAATTTTAACCATTCATTCACACCACCATGAAACAAGCACTTACAAAAATAACCAAAAGAAAACTAAACACAGAGATCATGTACCTGGATCAATGAGAACTTCTTGTGCCCCTGGAAGAAAGAACAGATTATGGTCTTTTATTTGGAAAACAAAACTACTTTTAAAGATAACTACTAAAATACATTTCATAATTCACATAGCCTTGAAACTGAGGAACCTGTATATGATCAGAAAAGCAACTCTGAGTATTAGTATGTTACAAGTTTAGTGCCTTTTTGCTTTAGAAGAAAAAAAAGAGAAAAGAAAAGCTACTGTTACTCATATGCTCAACAAATTTGTAAAGCGCCTCTGCATCTCTTTCCCTCCCCACTTTCTAAGCTCATGCTCATAAACAAGTATATCTTATTTCCACAAATAACTGACAAAGGAGTATTATTTGTGCAATTCCATTTCAACACTTGGAGTGAGGGTGAAAAGGAGAAAAGGTGCCAGAAGCCTATGTGGAATTTTGCACTGGCCCCCTAAAAATCTGTCTCTCTCTCTCTCCCTTCTCCCCAACACACACACACAAACACACACGCTTAATTACTGGATGCATCAAGCGAAGGATTTCCAATTTTTAGGAGACACGCTTGTAGTTAGTTTAAAATATAAAACAATAAACTTTATTATGACTGAGAAGTTTTTGAAAGCCTTCATCATCTACTAAGCTATTCCAAATATCAATGAAATCTAATTAGACTTCTCTGTAGAATGTAATTTCCTATCATGGTAAAATACACCCCAAGAGATGCTAGTCCTAAGAGATGTTTATCATTAGCTTCTAAGGGTTGTGTTTATTGTTAGCAATTATCTTTTTTTTTCTTTTTTGAGACAGGGTCTCACTCTGTTGGAGTGCAGTGGCAGCGTCTTAGCTCACTGCACCCTCAAACTCCTGGGCTAACACAGTTCTCCTGCCTCAACCTCCAGAGTAGCTGGGACTATATAGGTATGCTATCAAGTCTGGCTAACGTTTTTCTATTTTTTGTAGAGACGAGGTCTTGCTCAGGCTATATTACCATTTTTAAACCTTGTAAGGAGATTCAAAAAGTTATGTTCCAATAACATGTATTCTTATTGAAATAGCATACTTATTCAATTATCTATATATAAAATGGACCCTATGATTATGATGCTATTTAAGAGCTATTTTGTTTATAGCAATCTCTGTTTTTAAATACAGACCAAAAATCACTACAATCTTGAAACAACCATTAAAATAAAAAACAGACTTGGTGCCTGTAGCTCAAGTGGCTAAGGCACCAGCCACATACACCAGAGCTGGTGGGTTTGAATCCAGCCCGTGCCCGGGCCAAACAATACTGACAACTACAACCAAAAAATAGCTGTGTGTCATGCCAGGCACCTATAGTCCCAGCTACTTGGGAGGCTGAGGCAAGAGAATCGCTTAAGCCCAAGAGTTGGAGGTTGCTGTAAGCTGGATGCCACAGCACTCTACCCAGGGCAACAGCTTGAGGCTCTGTCTCAAAAAATTAAAATAAAATAAAATAACAAGCATTTTCTTTTTATTTCTTTTTTTGGGGGGGGGGTGTTGTCACTACTTTTTTTATTTTTAAAAAAAATTTTCAGAATATTAGAGGGGCACATGTTTTTATTACATAATTTGCTTTGAAATATTTTAAGTAAAAAAAAAAACAGGTGTTTTCTATTGAATATCATGTCTATGTCAAACACAATGCTTAACACCATGGGTGACTCTCTGAGCAGCTCCACAAAGTAGACAGATATTATTAACCCTGCACTGCATATGAGGAGAGGGAAGCTCAGAGGAGCCGAGGAGTGCCCACCACCACACACCCGTGACAGTGAGGTGACTGGTCTGCACTGAGAGGAGGCTCTGCTACGTGGAAACTTGGGAAAGTCTGGATTTTGAGATGACCCCACAAACTTCTGTGAAAAACCTGATCAAATAGATTATTCTATGGCATGCCCTTTAAATAGGGGACAGAATTCAAACTTCTGATGCCTTGGAGTCATTATCACTATTGTCAATCTTTTGATTATCAATATCATTAGGCCCTAGTGCAATAATTTCACAGTGACCAAACTTGTAAGAGATTGATATAGAAAAACTGGATGTTTAATTATTAATGCTACAGGAAACATAAAATTATTAGTAAGATGAAAATATCAGGGTTCAACAATCAGCACATTTTCTCCTCAATAGCTAAGGCAGGAGGTGATGTGGCAAGCAAGACCGGAGGGAGAGCAAGAGGGGCTTTCTACACCAACGACAGGGACAGGCCTGCTGCCCAAGCAACTAACTTGAACCACCGCACACAGCCCTGCACAGTGGCCAAGACATTGCACCAATGTCCCCTTTGCCACCCTTCCTAGGCTAGCCAGCCTCTGACCAATGTACAGACATACGTACACACAGAACTATAGATAGGCTGACACCTCAAAACACCTGGGAAGCTAATCTCTGGGAGCTCAGCCAGCCTGCCAGGGCTTCAATGTCCCAGCTCTTCCTCTCACTGATTCTACAACCTTGGTGAAGTTACTTAACCTCTCTGCCTCACTTTCCACAATTATAAAATTGGAATGATAATCTAACTGACCGTACCAGGTTGTTGTGATGATTAAAAGATGAAATTAGTTTATATAGAATACTTAAAATAGTATATAGCACTGTACTGTTAGCTATTGAGGCGATTTTACAAATCTCCATTCCAACCGTCTTTTGTATTTCCTTGCTAGTCTCTGTCCCAAAGGATATCTTTAATTTCTCTATTTAAAAAGTCTTGGGGAGCGCCCTCCTGATCTTCCCACCACTTATTTATACTGTAGGGAAAGGAGCACTTGCTTCCCACTGCTCTGATCTCCATAACCCTGTCCACCCTTATTCCTCCCCCACACAAATGGAGTGAGTTTCGAGATTACTGAGTTGGGGAGATAAGCTAGGTATGTAAAACTCTCATTTTTCCTTGAGTGCTGCCTACTCTCCTACCCTAAGCCTGACAGGGAGGAGTCCACTCATAGGAAGGCCTGCCGTGGTCCACAGCTGCCTGGAACTGGCTCAGTCTTTCCAGACCTGGGATACAATATTAAGATACTCAGTTTCCTGCATCCCTCAAGTCCATGGAGAACGTCACTGTATCAGTAATAAAGGTGACATTCTGATTCTCTACTTGCTTACTGTTTCATTTCATCTCTCAACTGATTGTTAGAGAAAACTGGAGTGTCAATATCGAGCCCCTGTAAGCTCCATCATATACTAATTTACAAATAATTTCTGTGACTTATGGTAGGTTCAAGAGGAATCTACTGGCCACATCTCTACTGCTACAAAAAGCATGGCTATAGGAACTACTGATCCTTCACAAATATTTTTTTCTTTTCTTTTTTTTAATTGAGACAGAGTCTCACTTCATGCCCTGAGAAGAGTGCCATGGTGTCATCACAGCTCACAGCAACCGCAAACTCTTAGGCACAAGCAATCCTCTCACCTCAGCCTCCAGAGTAGCTGGGACTATAGGTGCTACAACGCCTGGCTAGTTTTTTCCATTTTTAGTAGAATAGGGTCTCACTTTTGCTCAGGAAAGCCTCCAGTTCCTGAGTTCAAGCAATCCACCTGCCTCAGTCTCTCAGAGTATTGGGATTATACACATGAGCCACTGTGCCTGGCCTCTTTCCTTTTGATTGAATCTTTCTTCATAAAACCATTTTTTCCTATTTTAATTCCTTAGTTATTTCCAAAAAAAGCTATAAAGTGGGCTTGGCACCTGTGGCTCAAGCAGCTAAGGCACCAGCCACATACACCTGAGCTGGCAGGTTCAAATCCAGCCTAGGCCCACCAAACAACAATGATGGCTGCAACCCAAAAAAATAGCCGGGTGTTGTGGTGGGTGCCTGTAGTCCCAGCTACTTAGGAGGCAGAGGCAGGAGAATCACCTGAGCCCAGGAGTTGGAGGTTGCTGTGAGCTGTGATACTATGGCACTCTACCCAGGGTGAAAGCCTGAGGCTCTGTCTCAAAAAAAAAAAAAAAAAAAAAAAGCTATAAAATGATGGCCTCACACAAAATAACAAATAGGTAATGGTTATGAGGTGTTTTATGAAATGACCACTAAGTGAAACACCTTGCATACAATCTAATTCTACAAAGCAGGTAGTGGCAGCCCCGTGTCACATATGAGGAAAACACTAAGAAGGAACTGAAGCATTTAGCAGGGTTAAGTGGTAGCAACTGCATTCAAACACAAGTCAGTAAATCAGCTGAACTTGGCTTTTTCCATGACACCAAAATACCACCCACTAATAAGCATACAGCAGTGGGAGGTTTAATACTCTTTTCAGATTTAAGGTGCTTCAGAGACAGCTTCTGTCTCTTTTATAAAATCAGTATTGGAAGAAAAGCCCAATTTCCCCACTGTTCACACAGCACGTCTGAAATTTTCACGCTGAGATGACAGGATAAAAATAAGATATAACTAGAATACTTTTTCCAGGTATCCAATACAGTGGACATGGTGCTATTCAGAAGCATTAAACAACAACAAAAAAATCAAATTAAAGGAAACTTGCTTGTCATTTATAAACAGGAAAATTAGGACCTTAAAAAAATGGTGCAATAGCACCACCTATGGCCAGAAAAGTATTCCCACATTGCTGGAAAAGATGTAACAAAATAAATCGCAGGTGAAATAAAAAATGATCAGTGAGTTTTTTTCCAAATAGGATGCTCAGAAACTATAACTAGAAAATCAGCTATTGCATACTGAATTCTGCACTGGGGAAGGGAGTGGTATTCAGCACTTCTGCAGAAAGCTTTAAAATCTCTAAATATAAACAAAAGTCATAGGCTTACAGTAGAAACTAATCTTAGAACACCAAGAAATCTTGGTACTCTGACTCAGTCTCTTCATTTTACATGTAAGGAAGCTGAGACCCTGTGACTTTGTCCTTTTAGCAATAAGTAGCAGGGCTTTCTCCTAGATTTTTTTTTTTTTTGAGATGGGTACCTTGCTATGCTTCTAGGATAGTCTCAAACTCTTGGGCTCAAGCAATCCTTCCCCCTCAGTCTCCCAAGTAGCTGGAATACAGGAGCAA